AGGAGTTGTTCCTGAATGCATGAGCCAGGAGTAACCCCTGTGCATCGCTGTGTGTGACACAAAAAGAAAAAAATAAAGAAGATACTGTGAATCTAAGACTGATGCTACATGCAGCAGGTAGCATACCTAGAATTGAAGGAAACATGGTAAAAACCAAGCAGTTTCTCATTCAAATCCCCAGCATTGCATATGATCCCCTGAGTACTGCCAGGTGTTACCCCAAAATTAAAAAAAAAAAAGAAAAGAAAAGCAAGCAGCTCCTCAAAGAACACAACTATAAGCTGAAGACTGACCAGTTTGCAGGAAATTCCTAGCTGACCAGGCTAAGACCCACCGATATGAGACTAGGGAAGCTTTCTGGGAGGAATAAGTCTAGACCAAGAAGATGGAACTGACTGTTTGAGGAGCAAGGGACTGAGACATAAGGCCCCCTTCTCTGGTCTGTCCACAGTAGCCTCCAATATTGTGCTGATTATTAAATAAAGACTCTACATACCCCCAAAATGATGGATACTAAATGGTTCCATGACTTGAACATTCCTTTTCTTTTTTTTCTTTTTGGGTCACACCCAGCGATGCTCAGGGGTTACTCCTGGCTTTGCACTCAGGAATTACTCCTGGTGGTGCTCGGGGGACCGTATGGGATGCCGGGGATTGAACCCAGGTCGGCCGCATGCAGGGCAAACACCCTACCTGATATATGTATATATGTATATATATATATACTCAGAATATATATATATATGTATATATATATATATATATATATACACATACTCTGGCCCCACTTGAACATTCTTCTACCCATCTGATCCGCTATCAAGTCCCATTATTTCTACTCCTAGAGTCCAGGGCCTTATTACGTTTCGCTGGACCTTTGCAATAGCCCCTTGTAGTGAACATTTCTCATGGCTACCTGTGTAAGATTTGGTTGGATTTTTTTTCTGGGGGGTGTGGGGCAGACACACCTGGTGATGCTCAGCGGTTACTCCTGACTCTGCATTCAGGAAGTACTCCTGAATTCAGGAACTACTGGGGAACCATATGGGGTGCTAGGGATTGAACCCAAGTTGGCCATACAACGCAAGCCCCCTACCCACTGTATATCACTCTGGCCCCCTGCCTAAGAGTTCTTAGCTCTTATTTTGGAAATTATCATCATTTGCTCTCCAGGATTCACTTGTCCCAAACATTTCCGATAATCTTATTTATTTGTTTAGGGGCCAACCTAGCAGTGGTCAGGGAATCATGCAGTGCCAGAGTTTGAATCCAGGCGTCTCTCATGCAAAGCATTTTCTCCAGTTCTTTGCACCACCTCCAGCCTCTTTCCTGCTATTTTTTTGGTTTGATTGGTGATATTGGGCCACACTGTGTGGGACTCCAGGCTTACTCCTGGCTCTGTGCTCAGGAATTACTCCTGGTGGGGATTGGGGGACCATATGGGTTGCCAGGAATCAAACCCAGGTTGGCTTCAAGCCAGAGAAGCACCCTACCCACTGCACTATTGCTCCAGTCCTCTTTCTTGTGATCTTAAAACAATCATCAAGGGACTGGAGAGATAGCATAGCGGGTAGGGCGTTTGCCTTGCACGCGGCCGACCCAGGTTCGATTCCCAGCATCCCATATGATCCCCTGAGCACCGCCAGGAACAACTCCTGAGTGCAGAGCCAGGAGTAACCCCTGTGCATCGCCAGGTGTGACCCAAAAAGCAAAAAAAAAAAAAAAAAAAAACCAACAACCCAATCATCAATTATTGTTCTCTTCACATTTGTCAAGGGGTCAACCTGAGATCCAAGTCCAGCCAGGGTTTCGAATCTTGAGTCAGATAACATGGATATAGAAACAGCTGGGCTGGGTCATTCCAGTCCCTGAGTCCAGAACAAATAGAGGATAGTCTCAACCAAGTTTAGATTCAAAGTGTAAAATATCTACAGAAGTAAGGCAGAGAGAAAGAAATTTCACCTTTGCTGATGACAAAGCTGTTGGCATGATTCTGAAGGTGTAATGGGCAAGTGGACTTGCTAATACTAAAGCCAAATATTCCTCTTCTCCATTAGTCCCAAGAACTTCTGGAAAAATCATAGCATTTCTGGGTGAGAATCAGACACTGAGAAATTTAAAGCCTGGAGGAAGAAGAGCCAAAAGCCATACTCCTTGAGGGCAGGTAGGTGTGAATGAGAAAGAGAGAAGAAGAGTTGAATGGAGCTCCTTTCAGGCTCCCCAACTCACCAATCAGAAGGTCACTTCTGGGATAGCTGGAAGTAGAGCAAGAGAAAAGCATTTTACTCTGAAAGAGGTATTTACACCAGGAATATGAAGAGGGGGAATAGTTAGTACCCATACACCATCCACATACTCCTGATCGATACATGACCCAAGTAGGCTGGATCCTCATTATATGCTAGTATCCTCCCAATGAATCCCTTTCTTACTCAATGTAGCCCGAGTCTGTTTTTATTGTTGTATCCAAAACACGTAATTGTTTTCTACTGCTGCTATAACAAATTACTACAGATTTGGTGGTTTGAGACAACAAAAATGTGTTAACAATTATGAAGATTAAAAGTACAAAATGGGGATAAAATGAAGGCATGAGCAGAAAGATGCATTCCTTTGGAGCTTCCTAGGGACAATCTACTTCCTTGCCTTTTCAGCTGCTGTCTTCCTGGACTTGTGGCCCCAACCAGGAATCAATCACACCGTTCTTAGCTCTTGTCTCATCATACTGCCTTCTCTGGCTCCCTGGCTCCCTCTGATTATATCAGGCCATTCCAGGTAATCAGACTCATCTCTTCATCTCCTAACCCTTCATTTAATCCATCTGCAAGAGTCTCTTGCTGTATTAATAATGTAGTCACCCACAAAACTCCAATAGAAACACTCGTCTCTCTTTTTTTTTTTTTTGGTGTGGGGGGGAAGCACACTCATTAGCATTCAGGGTGTACTTTTAGCTCTGTGTTGGTGGATCACTATAGGCAGTGCTGAGGAACCCATGTTTAGTTTGGAACTAGGGTCAGCCCCTGTACTATCTCTTTGGCCTATTCCAACAGAAATTCTTCTTAGCTTGCTTGAGATTTGCATTTCTCTCCTCTTCAATGTCCCCTGCAAGAAAACCTGAGAAAATATGAAACTTCCAGTTTCCCAAAGCCTACTGGGTAGATTTCAATCTCTCTACCTCTCTGTCTCTGTTATCTCTGTCCCTAGCAACTGTCAGTGGGGAGTGAGCACGTGACCAGACATTTGACCAGCGGATGTGTTTGCCCAGGACTTCGACCTTTGTGAGAGAGAGGCAAAGTGGCAGGGCTGCTCTGGGAGGCAGGTGAGAGTCCAGCAGGGCTGGGTGACTGATGGTGCGGAGGGCCTTTCCAATCAGACTTTCTCTTGGCCATGACTTGACCTGCATGCTTGGCCTACTTGTTTTGACTTCCTGTACCTCACTAGAACTTGTGCACATCTGAATCTTCTGAACCCCTGAAGACCTTTCTCTTTCCCAGAGACCCCTGTGATTTCTCTGCCTGGAAGCCAAGCATTGCAGGGAGCGATCCTGGAGTACTAAGTCAGTAACAGCCCCCCAGGACCAGTGGTTGTGCCCCCCCCCAAAAAAAAAAACAAATAAAAATAAATAAGACTGTGGGGAAACAATGATTTCATAATCACAATCTTGACCAAGAAAGGCCCTTGGGGCTGGGCTTGCCAGGGTCTTAGAGGTTGCTTCATAGGGGTGTAAATGAAACTTTCACACACAAGTTATAGAAGTAATTTTTCCTGTCTAAGAAAGGCTTGTTTCTTCTGCAAAATACTACCTTTTCCTGATTTTAAAAGGTTTTCTTATTGTTAAAGTAATGTCTAGTGACACTTTCCAGTCTGGAATCACCCTCATCCAACTTGGGTATAATTCCTTTCTTTTACTTTATGGCATTCCTATTTCTCTCTCTTCTCTCGTTTTTCCCCAACTAAAACCATTTTACTTAAATAGCAAAACAAACAAACAAACAAAAAACACCTTTATTGTGAATTGCATTATGAAAGTTTTTGAAAATATAAAACGCACAAGGAATGAAAGATACTCCTGAAATCCCATTACACAGAGACTGCTGCCCTGTCAAATAAAACTAGAGTTCGTGGCAACTGCAATTTTGTATCTTATTTAGTGAATACTCCCCCTCCCCATAATCTGATACAATGGAGAGGTTATAGTGTACAAATTTGTTGCAATTTATTTAACCAATCTTTTTTTCCTTTTTTTTTTCAAGGGGTGGGTTTTATTTTATTTTGCCTTGAGGTCACACCTGCGGTGTCCAGAGCTTACTCCTGGCTCTGTGCTCATTCCAAGAGGAAATTCAAGGGGCTAAATGGGGTGTCCGGGATCAAAGACGGGTGGGCTGAAAGCAGAGCAAGCGCCTTGTCGGTGATACTCACAGCCCTAACCAATCTCGTCTTAAGTGGAACATTTAAGACACTGACTTTCTGTTTGAGACTTTGAGACTGTTCACACGCGACAGACAGATATCTTTGTTATGTACAATTTTTCCCTGCCTGTATTTCTTAACACAGATTTTACCGGTATCCTTGGTTATTTCGTTTGAATTCCTTAGAAATGTAATTGCTGTTCCAAGTGATCTTAGACAAATACCGCCAGCCTGAGAGACTAATTTTCCCCATTTACAAGCCCACAGTTAATATCGGAGGACTCCACCCAAGTTGCCGCTGTCATAACTGTCAAAAGCCTAACCAGAAATCGTGGCCCGGCCTCTGGGCCGGTCTCATTCACCTCTTCCCGCCCACGCCGCGCTCCGGCGCGAGCCCCGCCTCCTCCCCTCTCCCCGCCCCCGCACGGATCCGGCCCGCCTCTTCCTTACTCGCGCACCTACTCTACCCAATCAGAAGCGCTCTTTCCCAGCGTCGCCTCCTGATTGGCACGTTCACGTGTCTGTCGCGCTCGGAACGGAATGATGGACGCGGCGAAGGGCCAGTGCGAGCGGCGTGCGGGGAGTGCGTGGCGTGCGTGGCTCACTGGCCTGGAAGCGGGGGACCTGCGAGGTGTGCTGGCGGCTGGAGCAGCGAGGGACCCGCGGCCATGGCTCCCAACGTGCCCACGCACACACACGCTGACGAGTACCCGAAGGGCATCCGAGCCGTGCTGCTAGGGCCGCCGGGGGCTGGCAAGGGCACCCAGGTGAGCCGGGGCGCCGTGCCACGCGGGACCTGTGGGGCGCCAAGGTCAGGCGGGCCAAAGGTCCGGCTTGGCCCGCGCGGGGGCCCCCGGCTCAGGCCTGGGCACCCCTGGCCGGGGTCTGAGGCTTTGCTCGGGCATTTGGAGCAGGGTTCGAATTGGTGGCCCTGGCGGATCAGAGTTAGGATCCAAGTTAGAGCAGAGTGAGTTCGGATCAGAGTTCTCGAGGGGTCCGGTATTGTGCCCTGTTCGAGCACCCGGGACTCTTCGGGTCCCGAAAGAAGTAGGAGCCCGAGGGAAGGCTTGTGGGGAGGGGGTGTCTGGTGCTCCCTGGACAGAGACCTATCGATTACAGGGTGATGAGGGGACTCCCCGCCAGTTCCCAGCGATGGGGACGGCGAAGCGTCAGAATTAGGGATACAGCCCCAGAACTCGGGATCGGGACCGGGGCGGGAGGCGAGAGGGGGAGCCCGGGGGACGTTTGTTGGAAGGGTGAGTGACCGGAGGTGCGGGAGCCTCTGCATGCAGCACGTGGTGGGCAGCTGGGAGCTGACCCGTGCCAGGAGGGAGAAGTAAAGCCCGTCTGATCTGCCAGAGCCAGTTAGTTAATTTGCAAGGGAAGGAGAGGGTGTCTCCACGCCGGTGAGAAAACAGGTTCGGAGAAGTCCGGTGAACTTTCCCAAATCAGCGAAATTGGCATTGAGAAGCCCGGTGCAACCTCGGAGCCATTGGGGTTCGTGATCGGAGTGTAAAGTAACCCTCTGCCCTAGCACAACTGTCGGGGCTTGGGAAGTTGGGATGTTTAGGATTTGGAAGCCCCCGTGTTGGGTAATTGTAAATGTCTCCCGCCCTCCTGCCTGGGGGTCTGGCCATTGTCTTCCCCCTCCTAGGCTCTAGCTTCCTGTTAGGTTCTAAAGCAGAAATTCCTGCGAGCCTGACCTTCCTGGGCACAAGGATTCTGCCTACTGTTGTATGGCCACTCTTCTCGTCTTGGGGGCAAAGATTGTGGAGTCTCAGCAAGCAGACCGTCTTGCCTTGGGCCCTGTGTGGCACCTTTCACACTACTTGACACTGGTGGGGTTACTGGAAATAGGTGTGGATTAAGGTGGGAGATAAGGAGGGAGGACTGGGAGGTTGGGTTCATTCCTGTGACCTTGCTCTTTGACTCTGGGCACTAGGTCAAGACACCCACTTTTCCTTTTCTCTCTCCAGCTGGACTTGTTTCCTCATGGTGGCTCACTGCTTGCTCCTCTTTTCCCCTGTCCTGTTGAAGTTGCCTCTTTCCTGTCGTTGCTACCCTCAATTATTAGGTAATTTACATCTTAGAAATGTTTCATCCCAGACTCTGCAGACTTTTGCGGACTAACCAAGTATAAGCAGAAGTTCGCATGCTTTGATTATTCTTGTCTTAGTTTATATTGCGCCCAGCCAGCCCGGCTGAGCCGGGTTCGATTCCTCCACCCCTCTCGGAGAGCCCTGCAAGCTACCGAGAGTATCTTGCCCGCTCGGCAGAGCCTGGCAAGCTACCCGTGACATAGTCAATATGCCAAACACAGTAACAACCAAGTCTCAAAAAAAAAATGGAAACGTTACTGGGCCCGCTCGAGCAAATCAATGAACAATATTGATATTAATAATTGCAGTATTGGGAACTGGAGTGAGACACTTACCTTTTACATGACCAACCTGGGTTCTATCCTCAGGACCCCATATAGTCCCCTGAGCAGCACCAGATGTGGCCAGAAAAACAAACCAAAATTGCTACAAACTAGTTGTAGTTTTTGAGCCACACCCCGTGTGTGGACAGCTCCTGACCCCATGCTTGGGCACCCTTGCCATGCCAGGGATCAGACTCTGACCTCCCACATGAAAAAGTTTTACTCAGTCTCTCAGACTCTGAGATAGGGACTTATAATGCAGCAAACTTTCAAACTTCTACGCTTCAGTGTTTTCACCTGAGAAACGGAAATAAGCCTTCCCTTCCTCTAGATCATTGGAGACCAAGCAGTGGACAAGACTGAAAAAGTCCCACTCATGTAGACCAGAAGTTCCCAAGGCCACGGAGAGATCACTCTGTAGACATGTGTGAAACGCCTTCTGTACCTTGACAGCAACCAAGCTCATTGCGTACTGATTCCCTTATCTCGGTACCACGCCTCCCTGTCCCTTCCTTACAACCCAGCTGTATTTCAGTGTGAAAGGTGATGGAGTCGGGAAGTTCCGTTTTGATTGTTTTTTGGACCACGCTTAGCAATGCTCAGGGCTTACTCCTGTTGCTGTGCTTCTGGTCACTTCTGGTGGTGCTTGGGGGAATCAATCATCTGAAGGTGCAGGGGATGGAGGGATTGAACCCCGGCTGGCTTTGCACAAGGCAAGCACCTTTCCTGCTGTACTGTCAGCCCCTAATCAGAAAGTTTTGAAGGAAACTTAACTTATGGGCTGTGGTAGTGCTGTGGAAATTCCCACCCACAGTCAGAGAAAAACCAAACAGCGTGCCTTGAGGAGTGGGAAGACACTTAAATTACGCTCATGGACCCCATTGAGCCTTGTGCTCCATAACTGGGCTCAGAACAAAGGAGAGAGCTCCATTTTATCCAATATCTGCTGGGGCATTTGCAGGCAGCTGGCAGAGTACAGAAGCAGAAATTCCAAAGTATGTTATTTTGAAAAGCAGGGTCTGAACCATCCCAAGGACATGAGCACATTTGGAGTATATTCCCAGGTAACAAAGGAAGACTAGGACCATCTCAAGGACATCCCGAATGGACTCCCTGGTTCTGTCAAGTTGCCCCGCCTCAGCTGCCTCTTGGCAGCTCCTACTTTGTGATGTTAGCCTGCTGGAAGTTGGTGCGCCTGTCTGAAATGTGGGCAGGGGGCTCTTTGTCTCAACAGAGGGGAAATGACCAGAGAGGCTTTGTGGAAGGAAAAGACAGTGATTAGAGCTGGACTTGAGGGAAGGGTTTACTGAGTCACTAGCTACACCTTCTCCTCATTGGAACTGTAGGAATACTTATGGTTGTAGTTTGAAGGAGTTATTTTTTTTTTAAAGCACTTCTTAAATCTTGCCATTTACAAAATGGTAGCCTGCAGCAAGCGTATAGCCTGAGGCCTGCAGATATTCTTTAACATTAGATAATGGAGGGATTTGAATACTCAGAAGATAGATTAGGATAATGAGCCCCTGTGTACCTATACCAGTCGCAAACTTCTGCTGACTAGTTTTTCCCTAGCCACCCTCCTGCCACAAATTATTTTAAAGTAGGGGTAGAGAGATAGGACAGCAGAGAGGGTGCTTGCCTTACATCTGGCTGACCTCAGTCCCCTGCTCATGGATAGTCCCCTAAGGACTGCCAGGAGCGGTCCCTGAGTGCAGAACCAGTCCTAAGTACACCAAGTGTGCCCCTCCCCCCAGAGAAAACCCAAAAAATTATTTTAAAGTAACTCCCAGAAATAACATTTTTGTCTCAATGTAGAATCTCTTTTAAAAAATCTTTTTGTAGTCAAGTGTAGTAATACACTTAAATAGTGACAGTGGGGAGTGAGGCTCTGTGGGCCACATCAGTGGTGTTCAGGGTTATTCCCAGCTCTGCGCTCACAAATCACACCTAGTGGTGCTCAGGGTCTCTGGCCCCCCAAAATAGTAATAATTTTTATTATTGTATTATTAACAATGGGCTGGAGCGATAGCACAGCGGGTAGGGCCTTCGCCTTACAAGCGGCCAACATGGCCGACCCGAGTTCGATTCCTCCGCCCCTCTCGGAGAGCCCGGCAAGCTACCGAGAGTATTCGATATGCCAGACACAGTAACAACAAAGTCTCCAATGGAGACGTTACTGGGCCCGCTCGAGCAAATCGACGATCAACGGGAGGGCCTTTACCTTTTTATTATTAACAATAATAATAGTACAGCATTTGCCTTACATGCAGCCGACCCGAGTTCAATCCCCAGCGTCCCATATCGTCCCCCAAGCACCGCTAGGAGTAATTCCTGAGGCAAAGCCAGGACTGACACCTGAGCATCGCTGGGTATGACCCAAAAAGAAAAAAAAAGGTAACAATTTTAATAACAGTGTTCATATTTCTATTTGTCTCAGAAATGTGATCATATTGAACCTCTTTGTTTACCAGTCCTCTTTAAAAAATTTTCTTAAAGCTTTTTTGGTGGTAGAAACTAGATCTTGGGAGTGTCCTTATTCTGTGAATTTTTTATTCTACCCCCATGCTGTGTTTACTGTCTTCTTTCCTGTTCCCTGTAAGTTTGATCAGATACTTCCCAGAGACAGGTTCAGTTTGGGGGCATGATTGTATTACCGGGACGCTGGGTCTTCTGTTCTCTGGGTTTCTTTTTGTCAAGGCATGCCATTGTGAGGCATAGACTGGAGGAGTCAGTAATCACTGAGCTCTCCTGCCCCCCTGCATGGCCTGTGCATAGCTCTTCTCCACTCGCCCGTGGCCTGGATTTGACCCACTGCCCTCGTTTGCTTTGCCTGCCTTTCCCCCATTGGTAGATATGTGTAATGGTATATGTAAATTCCTGGGATGGGAGCACTGTGTCTACTCAGATTTTCTTTTCTGCTAATAGAGCCTTTTTGTAGCAGCATAACAGTATTTTGTGCATTTTATATTGCTATGATTGAAATAATACATTTCCACTCAAAACTTCTTTCTTGTGGGGTCAGAGAAATAGTACTGGGGTTAAAGTGCCATCCCCTGAGCACTGCCAGGATGATCATGAGGCAGGAGTAAGCCCTGAACACTGCCAGGTGTATATATAAAATGGAAGTATATATAATATATGTAATACACACACACACACACACACATATGTTGTTCCTGCGTTGGTTATATGTTGTTGTTCTTGCTCTGGTTTTCAGGCCACTCCAAATGGTGCTCAGGGGACCGTGTGATGCCAGGTATCAAACCCAGGGCTCTTGCAACACAGAACTTGTGCTCCAGCATTTGATCCATCTCTCCAGCCCCCAAACCTCCTCATTTTAGAGTA